GAAATGCTTCCTAAGGGCACAGGGACCCATTGAAGAGGGAGGAATGGAAATCATTTTTTTGCAATATCTCTCAATCGCGTTGTGATAAATGAATGAAATTTGGTATACACAGCTAAATTTTGATGAGCAATTTGATGGACTAATCCATTTATTTCCACAAGGTCCATTGGGGTGGGTACGGGGGGGCCCTTGGTACTTTGCGTGTGTAACTTTTTCATCTTTGACTTTTTAACAAATTGGACAGCAAATTCCGTTTTCCCGAACTGTTTTACGTTAAAAAGGTACTCTTGTTTCAAATCGTTATCTTTAACGGTTTCTGAGAAAATCGCTCTTGAATTAATCCCACTTTGGTCAATTTCATAGTAATTTAAACAAAAAATAATAATAATAATTTAATACGTAATCAGTAATACACATTATTGATGTAGAACAATTATGATATGATGATTTGTTTATGGCTTTTGCGATGGTAATGCTGCGCGGCAGAACGCGAGTACGGCAGAAGGTTTCCAAACAGAAGGCTGACATCAAGGAGGACATTCCTCACTGTATTCCGCAATTTAGCTGCAACCGTCACTTTTCGAAGGGATCATAAGATGGAAACTTAATTTTGATAACAGACAACAAGCTATTTTAAAAACTGTTCAAAAAACCCTCCACCTTCTCTGATACAAAGTCTTGCCCTACGTGTAACACTTCTCGAAGCTATTAAGATGCTAAAACGGTTTTGACGAATTTCATTGGCTGCATCATTGATACGCTGCAGCAATTCCTCACGGGTATCGACTTCGGTGGCGTAAACTTTTTGATTTAGATATCCCCAGAAAAAGAAGTCCAGCGGGGTTAGGTCGGGAGAACGCGGCGGCCAAGCTACCGGTCCGTGCCTCCCTATCCACCGTCCAGCGAAATTTTCGTTTAGGAAATTTAGAACATTGCGACCACTATGTGCCGGGGCTCCATCGTGTTGAAAAAACATGTTACGTCGTAAATTTAGAGGCAGATCATCGAGAATTTGGGGAAGATTTTCTTGAAGTAAGTTTAAATAAAGATTTGAATTGAGACGTTGTGGAATTTCAATAGGTCCAATCAGAGTGTCGTGAATTATTCCCGCCCATAAATTTATGGAAAACCGTTGCTGGAAGTTTGTTCTCCGAACAACATGTGGGTTCTCTTCTTCCCAATAATGAGAATTATGAAAATTTAATTTTCCATTTCGGGTAAAAGTAGCTTCGTCACACCACAAAATTTTGGAAGCTTGCTCGTTGTCCAGCGACAAAATCCAGCGACAAAATTGCATACGTGGCGCAAAATCTTCTGGTATCAAGCCATGTACACGTCGATAGTGATAGGCATGTAGACCTTGTCGCTTTAATATTCTTCCAACCTGAAATGTTAGTAGCACATCTAATCAATTCTGTTAAGGAAATCTTTAAGATATGTAGTACCGTTGGCCGAGGAACATTTATTTGCCTTGAAATGTTCCGTATGCTAGTCGTAGGATCTTGTTCAATAGCGTCAAGGACCTCCGCTTCCCTATTAATCCTGGGACGTCCTTGACCCGGTGCCTTTCGAAAAGTGGCGGTTGCAGCTAAGTTGCGGAATACCGTAGGGAATGTCCTCCTTGATGGCAGCCTTCGGTTTGGAAACCTTCTCCCGTACTCGCGTTCTGCCGCTGCAGCATTACCATCGCAAAAGCCATAAATAAATATCATATCAACTAACTCTTGTCCCGTAAACTCTTCCATTTTTTTCGCTTAGAACTATTAAATTGGCAATCGGGTTGACAATACTTTGACATAAGAATACCTTGATAATTTTGTTTAAATTACTATGAAATTGACCAAAGTGGGATTAATTCAAGAGCGATTTTCTCAGAAACCGTTAAAGATAACGATTTGAAACAAGAGTACCTTTTTAACGTAAAACAGTTCGGGAAAACGGAATTTGCTGTCCAATTTGTTAAAAAGTCAAAGATGAAAAAGTTACACACGCAAAGTACCAAGGGCCCCCCCGTACCCACCCCAATGGACCTTGTGGAAATAAATGGATTAGTCCATCAAATTGCTCATCAAAATTTAGCTGTGTATACCAAATTTCATTCATTTATCACAACGCGATTGAGAGATATTGCAAAAAAATGATTTCCATTCCTCCCTCTTCAATGGGTCCCTGTGCCCTTAGGAAGCATTTCCGGACCCATGTTCATATGAACTTTTTTACTTAGTTTTGATCATAGAATCGGCCTGTTCAGGGTTGGCAGCTAATTATGAGACACCCTGTATAATCGTCACCAGAGAGAGTCAAGGGCATAACAACACAAATGTTCAATCTCAGTAAGCTGTACTACCCCATTCCAAGTTAATTTCGAGACACCTTGTGAATAAACCGTCCACTTACCCCTTGATTTTGCGATCCAACGGGTAGACGTTGCACAGATTGCAATTTACAGCCAACTTGTTTATTCGCATTATCGGGCGTTAATCGAAATGGAGAGAGAGTCGATCTAATAACCGATGTGTACGATCTCGCCCGCCCATTACGTGCTCTCGTCGTAATTAAATGACTTGCCCGTTTTGATAATATCATTAAACCGTAAATAACATTATTGAAATTATCTACCGTTCGCTGTTTAATCGATCGCCTCCACCTGCCCCTCTTTTCCTCTCTTTTCCACCCTGCTCGCGTCCTCGTCCGCCTCGAAAAATGGTAAAACATTAATTATGTAATGATAATGTATTACCGGACCCCCGTATCGTGTAAACATTGTTTTTAATTGGATCGCTGATAAAAATTAATGAAATGTGAATCAATATTGATCCACCGGCGAGCTAACATACGATTATAAGCGCAAAATTGTTTGAAATTACTCACGAATTATTTTTATGTATGTGTACACAGCGTTATGTATATATACACGGTGTTACTGTAAATATATGTTCATTATCTTGTTTAAAACTAGCTAACCTTTGTTCGTTAGTTTCACTTGAACCATAGATGACGTTGCAGTTATGTTGTTCTAATTGTAAGATACATAGTAAAAACAGTTTAACTAAATTTAACATGAGTTTGATTTTTTAATCATTGAGTACCTCCTGAATCGTAACTGAAGAGATGCGCAGTGTGGTATTAGTGACAGCTTATTCAGATGAGCCGATATCATAACAAGCGCATGGCAGGCTGTGCATCCCTCTTCTACACAGACGTATTTAAAAATTTAATTGTGCAGTTTGGAGATCGTGTTCGATAAAATTCAGAATGAGTGAAAATGGTGAAATTAATCTATAGAAAATTCTTCTCACGGTTCTGATTGCCCATTCTCCATCCAAGTACTTGGAGAGCAGCTGGAAAAGATCAAATTGCCCAAACGGAGTGACATTAAATGTATTTGGTAGAAGAAGACAGTGGTCTAAGAGCGGAGACAGATTCGAAAAGAGGAATTTTTATGCCATACTATGCGTAGACGGTAGACTGTCAAAGTGTCAAATTATTTTGACTCGTTTCTCAAAATGGTTTGCCGTTACCACTAGTAGATTGACATTGTTAAGTACTCTAGATTTAGTTTCAAGTTATGATTTGATGTGACGGAAGAATTTAAAATTCTTTTATGGTAACTACAGACGTAATTATAACATTGTAGCGATTTAACTGTTGAGTAAAAAATCGTTAAGATTTATTTCATTCACACGTCAAATAGATCTGGTTTAATTCTGTCATTACTCAGTTATACGAATTATATATTACGTGTACTTTTTTTATTAAACTTTATAAGTACGGATCTTTTGAAATGTACAATAAAGCAGTTTCTTCCTGGTTGAGATATTAGCAATTCACTCACATTATGTTTTCATTACTTTTCCACGAATTATCGAAACAATTCGTGGTATGTTGTTTTATCGCATCTCATCAAATGCTTAAAAATAATCTTTTAATTGAAAATGATTGCCTAGTCAGGTGATTGTCGGAAACATTATAAGGAAAACTTATAAAATTATTTAGTACCGTCTAGATGTCTAATATAGATATCATTTTGCGGCGATAGAAGTAGATAGAGTGCAGTTATATACAATTTTGAAGAGATGAGATGTACTGTTTGAAACTCGAACACGTTTATTAAAAAAAATATTATACAGTGTTTTGTAAGTCTTTATTTTTTATTTCTTGGAAGATGACTAGCACCAGTTATTTTAGATTAATTCAACTGCATTTTTTTTTTCATATAAACCATAAAATTTTTCTTGAAAATTTCATTAGCAATTAAATAATCCAATTACCAAAGTATTCAATGGTGTCAGAATTCTGGTGTTCTTAATGGCAGTCTCTTACAATTAGTATATTTGTCAGTAGGTAGTTGACGGATTTATATACCAAATCTTTCGCGAATTCAACTACCTCACGTCTACTTTTACTTCACGTTCACTTTTACTTCACCTGCGCTTTTACTTCACTGTAACTGTATTTATTATGTCCGTTTATAGAGGACGTGAAGTAAATGACTCGGTAAAGTATTTACAGACGTAAAATAATATACTAGTTTACCTTGGTCATTTGAATTTCCGTGGAGTATTTAAAATGACATTTTATTTGACCGATATATATACCAAATCTTTCACGAATTCAACTACCTCACGTCTACTTTTACTTCACATCCACTTTTACTTCACGTCCGCTATTACTTCACTATCACTGATTTATTCTCGGTAAAGTATTTACAGACGTAAAATAATGTACTAGTTTACCTTGGTCATTTGAATTTCCGTGGAGTATTCAAAATGACATTTTATTTGAGGTGTAATAAATATTAACATATTAAAGATATCACTGGAACAGTTAATTTATCAAGATTTATTATTTTTTATTTTTTATATGCTACACTACCTACACTGAGATCTTCAAAAACTCTTAATGTAATTTACTTACGTACTTTTACCATATCTTGAAGTTCAAAATTTAAGGAAAAATGTAATTGATTTTATAACCTAGACATCTTTTTTTTGTTGCAGGGCTCGGACGCCAGCTCGGTGATCTTCGCGTCGACGCCCGCATCCAGGAAGCACGAGTTTCCGGGCGCGCTGCCGCCCAGCCTGCCCAGCCTCAACCATGGTACCAGCAGTTCCCCAGTGCCGGCGCCCACGCCGCCCAACCTTCCCGTGCCGTCTCCCGCCCCCGCCCAGCAACCGCCCCACCATCCCCCGCAAGCCATTCCCTCGGCGGCGGTGTCGACCGCCGCCACTGTCGTTACGCCCTCGCCCGCGCCGGGCATAGGCGCCATCAAGCCCACACAAGGTGAGTCTTCTGTAATGTGCCAAATTATTTGTTTAAATTTCGTATAAGCTTTGAAAACCGCAGATTTCGATTAATTATTTACGTGGAACGGCCAATCGAGCGATAGCAGTTTGCTGTTAACTTTACATCGTAGCGAAAGTATCGGTTTTATTAAAATAACGTTCGTTAAGGTGGCTTTATAGTAGCGTTTTTATTTCGAAAATAATATAATATGATTAAAAATATGTTTAGTAAAGTAAGATATATGTTTAAAAAACAGTAATAATAATAAAAAATAATGGTTATATATATAACTGTACCTCGGAGCTAAACTGTGTTAACTCCATTTTTTACGAAAATGGGATTATTTGACAGCCCAACACAGTTTCTTATGCTCTTTCACGTGCTAAGCAGTAATAACTCCCACTCATGATACTTTCGAAGATAGACAGTGCTAAATAATAATAAGTCCCAACCTGCATCCAAGCTAGGCAATCGTATGTGTATTTAATACTACCCGTATTTCATTTTCACAGTATTAGGTTCCTTGTTACATCAATTTAGTCCGAGCCAAACAGGTGTATGTGGAGTTAATATTCTATTAGTTTGATTTCGGAGTATTAACTCCAGACAAATCAAGATCATGTTGGTTTACTTTAGTATTATATCCACATTCATCGTGTATTATCGCACAATTAGTAAATATTATAATATAAAATCCCTAAATCATGTTTGTGCCAAATAGTGTTAACTCCATTTTTCGAAAAAAAATACGAATAGAAAGTTATTCTTTAAATTACAATAAATAATATTAAAATAGACGTATAACTTCACATCATACTACATTTTTTTATCAAGGAGAAGTAAGAGTTCGAAGTTATGGAATGATAAGTAAAATTTAAATCTTTAAATATCTCTCCTGTAAAATTTCATTTTTGGCACCTTTTTTCGTAAAAAATGGAGTTAATACAGTTTAGCTCTGAGGTACAGATATGGATTTAGGAAACGCCTCTTAGGGTGTTTTTACGATAGTTCCTTTTTCCTTTAATGTTGAAATGTGCCATAATATCGCCATATCACAGAATACCTAAGTTATAATAATAATTCAATATCGACACCTTTAATCACTTCCGGATATACGGCGCCATGTTTCAAAGTATAGAAACACAAAATTTTTTCATTGTGATTTGGCATATCCATATTTTGATACAGATTGCTAATATATCTCTACATTTTTTTATTTAAACTTGTTATTGTTTCATTTGATGGCCTAAAGTGTAAGTATGTCAATAAAACTCAAAAAGTTTTAGATTAAACTCTTCATAAGAAAAAATTAAATTTTTTGAAACACTTTTTAAATGCTGTTTTACCGACCGAACCGCTACTTCCCACAATCCGCCCATATGGGGACTTTTTTGTTCCACAAATCAAGCTAATATAAACAGTTATAGGATAGGTGATGATCTGAAATGGGCAAGTCATGTTAAGTGAAGTCGCTTCTGAGCACTATTTCTACAGACCCTTCATAAATGTTTACAAGCCACATGACCGCCGGGTTTATGCAACCCAACAATGCACGATTGGTACTGATAACGAAAATTCCCTAAATCTTGGCATCACCAATATATCATTAATTTCCAATGAACAAGGACATACCGTTACGTCTAGATAATGCGATCGCTGATTGGTTGGATAGAATCTCGTGAAAAATTACACCAATCACAGCCGGTGCAACAGAATATCGTGTCTTAATGTAATCTTGATCTTATTTTAATTCTTCATGTAATGCTCAGAAAAGTTGCAGCGCTATTCTGTTTTGCGTATGTCACAACTTTTTAATTATAATAGTCCTATGTTTCACCAAAATTGCCTCAAATTGAATTCATAAAGATATTATTTATGTATAAAGGATTCATGGGTCACGTTATATCACTGTATGTATTTTCATTTTATTATTTCTACCTTTTGTGAAATTTTAAATAACACTACGTTCTATACCCGTGATATATTATTATGATTTGATTTACGTGCATATGGGCTGCTTTTATCGTAGTAAGTGCTAGTCTCGATACCACTTCACTTTATTCAAGTCACTTCGTTTTATTGCTCAATCATTCCGAAAAAAATGATTATAGATAGCAGCAAGAGAGATGACTACAGCAAAAATATAAAGATGTAGGATCTAGGTTTAAAAAACAGTAATAATAATTTCTTTATATCTATTGACATAGTTTCAGTTTATAGCCACCATAAATGATAAAATACAACAATAATTCTCGTTTAAACACATCTAATCTTTTAAGTCTCATATACACATTCTATTTAAGCGGGCAATAAGTTGATATTTTTATGATTATTGTATGTTTCTAGTAGATGTTGATGATTTAAGATACTCGTAAAAGTGGTAATGTTTCTTTATTCTAAATTTATTATCCCATTGTCCTTCGACTTTTTGCCCCATAAAACTTTAATTTTATTGACTTTAATAAAGATTGTGAAAGCTGAAAAAGTTATTACTGCTGTTGACGACCTCAACATTAAATGCTTGTGTTTTTTTTTCTTAACTAACCAGGAAAATAGTGACAAAATTTAATTAACGCAGTAACAGTAAATGTATGAAAAGGAATTATAATTATTAATTAATAATTTCTGTATTCGAAAATCTGGATTTCTTTATTGTTTTGTTCAAGGCTGGTAAAAGTATTTTATTTGAAAAACGGTGCGGAATTTTTTTAATTTGCGTTCAATTTTTTGGAGTAGACTATCATAAGAGACGTTTTCAAGGATATTTCATTGATTATAGCAAGTACCATACATAATAGATGGCTCTTGAAATCAGAATAGCGTGATTACTTAAAAAAATCTTGCTCGTTTTCAATATACAGGCTGTTAAAATTTAAAAATTTGAATTCTGGCGATATTTCCATAATCGTTAAATACAGTCAAGATATTTCAATATGTTTTTTTTTATGAGTTTCGGTAAGAAACAATTTAAAAAACAATATGAACTTTGGGCTTACTGATGGACGCGTTAGTTACAACTTACTGATGGTGCAAAATGTGTTTGACCTAAACTTCTTTGTTCTTCACATATCGACAATTTGGAGAGTAACGAAATCACTCGGTGACAGTTAGTTTTAAAAGAGGAATTCTAAAACTGTTTACTGAACTTGGATCGATTACTTCTGATAGGAACTTTTAGCAACTTCTCTGTTGAGCAGTAAACATTTGATTGGCGCAATTGCTTTGTTTGGATCTCATTAAGTTGCACTAAAATATTTTTAATAGTAAAAAATATACATACTGGCGTACAATAGTGGTTTAAATCAAGAGTTTAGAGAGACATATTTGGGAAATAACTACATTTTTATGCAAATTTTGTCACCTTGTCGCGACTAAACACAGCAACTTTAAAGAGATTTGTTTTAAAGCAACGATTTCGCATAATTTCCTTAACTTACCCCTTAAAATAAAAATTCCAATTAAGAATAAACCTCATGACATTAAATCGCATAAGAACATGAACGTATATGTTTGTTGACCAACAGGTTATCCAGTGTGACTGACTGTTCTCTATATAAGTACTTATTTTTTTAAATTTTTTTCTTGCTATATTACATTTTCTGCTGTGTTGGTTACAATTGTTTGTACTTTTAAATATTTTGTTGACTTGATTTTTTAAAATTATTTTTGTATCATAAATTTTTCTTATAGTTAGGCTTCTCCCATTGTGTATTTTATAATAATAAATAAATTTTGTTCCAGAAACTGCACCAGCTGCTCTTCCACCGACGATAGCGAGCGTGCCTCAGCCGCCGCCCATGACGATGCCGAGCGTCCCGACGGCGGTGTCCATGCCTCAGCCAGCCGCCGCCCCCGTAGCCCACCATCCGCCTGCCCTCGACTCCAGCACCTTACCGGGCGGCCACGCCATGAGGACCGAAAGCCCAGCGGTAGCGACTTCGGCCAACGCCGCCGTTGCGCCGTCTCCCGGTCAGTACCACCATCCGTCGTACCAGCCGCTGTACGCGCCCTACGCCGCCGCCACCGGGCCCATTCACACCGCCACGCCCTACACCTCGAATCCTACGGCGGTAACCACCACTGTACCCGCCGCCGTGGTTAGCAGCGCGCCGCCTCTTCAGCCTGCGACAGTTAGCAAGGCGACGGCAGCGCACGTCGAAAGGGAGAAACAGCTGGTACCGCCGTCTCCGAGGGGACCCAGTCCCGTTAGAGAGAACAGGGAGAGAGAGAGTTATAGGTATGATTATTGTTCTGAAAAGGTAAAAGTATCCATAAATTAAAATTTTCATGATGAAGTTTTTTAACATCTCACAGATTGAGGAAAATAAGCAAAGTAAAAAAATTTTCAGATTCTTTTTCCAACAACTTATCTGCATTATTTATGTCATATAAGTATTTTAACTATCCACGAGCACTAAAGTCTGAAACCTAAGGTACCCTCGATAAAGTACCACAATCAGTCAATCAGTCAATTTTGGGAAAAAACCCTTTGAAACAAGTTTAAATTTACATTTTTACGTAATTAATAGTAGTTGATTGATTTTCAGGCATTTTGAATAATTCATTACACAGTATGTCAATATTTCAATGTGTAATACTACAGCAATTAAATATTCATAGGTGTTTTTTTATATATAAATAGCACATCAATGGCATAAATGTCAAACCGCCATTTTGAGGCAAACAAGAATATTGATACTACAGTATTTGGTCAATCTAGGGACTCTGGCGACGACAAGAGAAGAAAACAGCAGACAGTTTAATTGTTTTATACAGGGCGATTCAGAACTTATTCCAAAAAAAATTGGGTGCACAGGGGACTTTTACAAACACAATTTTGGCCGATGGATTTCGATCGGCCGAGGTAAGCATCACGGACGCAGACTGGAACTTGGATGGGTGACCTAAGGCAGGCTCGGGACGTGGCTGTGGCAGCCTACCAGAGACCTAGGTCGCTCAACACCTTCCGCCTGCGTGTGGTCCCCGATAAAATGGTAATGAGAATAGAGCAATAATTCTCTGTAACTCAAGACCATGCTATCAAACTTAAAAAATTGTATGAGACTTTGCCACCAAGCCACCCGTGTAGTAATAGGATGGTTTGAAGAAAAGTACTCGAGTAATGAAAGGGGGATGTATAAGGGGCCTAATAAGGCCTAAGTGCCGCGGTGGAAAAGCAATTTTCCACCACCCCCCCAACATACATACATACATACATACATACATACATACATACATACATACATACATACATACATACATATATACACTTCTTCACGGCACTGGAAACTGGTCCACTGTAAAACCTGACCTAGCACAATGTGACCTGCATGGCGACAAAGTGTGATAAAAACGGACAAAAACTTGAAAGAATTTCGCAAGGAAAGAAATAAACATAATTTTATAGCACCTATTTTATATCAGCAAATTCAACTGCTTTGCCACTATTGTTAATAGTTAATAAAATAATTTGACATACCTGATGTTACAACTGTTCAAAATTTTGTCCACGACATGTAAACACATTTGGGTCCATCTTACCGGGTTTCTACAACCTAACACAAATATTCTCTTGCTTCACCATAATACAAATGTTGTCTTGTTTCACCATAAATTAAAACGATATCCATCAATTCCGAGTTGCTATACACGCAAGCCATTTTTGACACTAACTACTAAAAAACTATTGTAAACAATATCGCAACGACGATTGTAAAATCGGATTTCAGTATACGGAGTCACTGAGGCCACGTGATTCTCCACGCATATTGCGTGTATAGTTAGTTGTCCAGCTATGTAATGGTTGAAAGTACTACAACTTCAATATATTTTTTCTCGGAAACAATAAGGATTTAAAATTTTTTTTTTGCAATATATACTCCATTTCTTATGCCGCCATCTATTCCCAAATTTGTTTGAATAAGTTGTGAATTACCCTGTATATGAATATTTAATTTTTTAATTAAAAACATTGTTCGGTGAGCCATTGCAATAATTGCATACATATCGGGACTTGTAGCATTTTTTAATTATTATTTTTTAATTAAAAACGTTGTTCGGTGCCCCATTGCAACAATTGCGTACATATCACAACTTGTATCATTTTTACATCCCAATGAGGAAAAACTTACGAAGATATATAAAATCGAATTGGTTGAATAATGCTTCTAATTCCTCGTCTTGGAACTTATACAATTGTGAACTATTTAGAAATCACCATTTCTAAAACATTGAGACCAATACTCACATGCTTTTATCTATGGAGTATGTTCACCGTAAGTTTCGCTCTAACCCTAACCTAAAATTTAGAAGATCAGTGCACTTATACTCCGCGGTCGAAATTATAAAGAGTGACTAATACATAATATAAAAACACTATTACCATAATGCGTATAAAATATAAAATGATTTCTATACGGTTCAATATTATTTATCTTTGTACCGCTCGCTACGCACATCGATAGAATCTATAATCGTCTAGAGACCGAGTTACACTGAACGTCGATCTATATTCTATCTCTGTCTTTTGCACTTGGTAGGGAATTTGCACTTGGTGTAAACGGACTTGATTTAACCCGTCCTGAGAAACGTCATAGCATAAGCGTAGACGAGGGGTCTAATTCCATGGCTATAATAAATTTATAAATTAAAAAAACACAATTGGGACGTTTTAAAATACTGTAATAATTAAAATGGATCAAAGTGCCGGTTATAGCAAACCGTAAAAAATATTAGATGTTATGTTTTATTATCTTTTTTCATTATTTTCTATATCTTGTTGCCTTTTACGCAGACACGCCAATGGATTTTCGTTCCCGGCACGCTTCATCCCCCTTACTAGTCCAAAAGCTAGCGATTAATCACTCTCTATAATTTCGACCGTGAAGTATAGAATATTATAAATTTGACTCTGGTACGAAATGTACAATTAAAACATACTTTTTTTATCCATTTATAAACAACTTTAAGAGAGAGCCATAAAATATATCCTTGTGTCTAAATAAGTGCAAAATCACAAAAATGTCAGTTAGGACATTTTAAATAACAACAGCAGCGTTACTCAAAAGAGAGACATTTTTACTTTAAATTATATTATTACATGGATGAGATAAAGCGGTATCAATTTCTATTAACACTTGTATTTCCTAAAAATAAATCTTTACTTTTTCCAGTAGCGTCAGCAGTTTGAGTCGAAGCAGCGTAACGACCACGCTCAGCTGTCCCCCACCCACCACCGCAGTGTCTTCTAGTCTAGCAAGTAATTTGAGTAAACCATGGAGCAATAGTGGACAACCGACTTCCACGCAGCTTAGCCCCGCGCCGCCTAGGCCGACCCCACCGTTGCACACGTCATTTCCGGCAGCCCCCATGTTTGCCGCCCCCTTACCGCCCCCCGTGTCGAGAGCGAGTCCCATGGCCGCCCCGTCTAATGTCCTGCCTAACCCCAATCCTTTTTCGGCCGAGAGCCTGTTCCAGTCGACTAAGTACCCTACAAGTGAGTGGAAAATACATGTTACTAAGCAGTTTTCAATTTGGCACTCGTAATGAGTGAGTTAATGTGTTAATTTCTTTGCAGATCAAGCGGATATGCTTAGAAGGGAACTGGACAGCAGATTTTTGGCGACGCAAGATCGCACTTTAGGCGTGGCACCGCCTCCGTATCTGAGGACAGAAATGCATCAGCATCAACACCACCACACTCACGTTCACCAACATACAACGTCTTTACTTCCACCTCCAGCTGCTTCCTCCCTCTATCCATCTCAGTTGGTAAGGCAATGATCTTTTTATTTTAATTATCCATTTTTATTATTATTTCAGCTCTTGTACAATTACTTGACCTTAAAGTTATTAAAATTTATTCTAGAAGTTTTCCACAAAGAAACATTCATTGGTGCAGAAAGAAATTCGATAAAATAAAAATATATATATACAGGGTGAGTAATTAATAATGGTACACAGCTTAATGGCAGATTGTTGACATGCCTTAGTCAGTTGTAGCTCCTTTTCATTCTACAGGGTGTTAAAGTTGAAAAAATATTATCGATTTTTTGCTATATTGTAGGTACGTATGTATGGACTGATTTTTTTGAAAATTTGTGGTTTAACGTTTGTTGTTAATCTCAAGAACTTAAAATATCTGTATCTCGATCTTCTATTTAGAATGCACGTAGTTCAATAATTTCCAGTTAAAAAATTCAGAATTGTTAAATACAAAAAGTTGGACATGTTTTTACATCGCTAGGACAGTATAACTAGCGTTCCCTAGACGTGACTCCAATACTGTTTGCATATTCGTATTTGCCACCTTAAAACACGTAAAACTACAAATTTTCAAAACAATCGGTCCATATATACTTAAAAAATAGCAAAAAACTGAAAATATTTTTTCAACTATAACACCCTGTAGAATGAAAAGGAGCAACAATTGACTAAGGCGTGTTTGGCTCAATCACTATATTTTAACGTTAATAATCTGCCATTAAGCTGTGTACCATTATTAAAGTCTCACCCTGTATATGTACATGAGAGATCCCTATTTCTGTGCCACCCGTGTATATCATTATTTGTTTAAGATCATATGAGACAAATTTTTAATCAACAGAAGAGATGTTGGTGTATGCTATAACACCTGTCTCATTGCTCATAAATTATGTTTGTGGCCTTGTTGATGGTTTACTTTAGGTCTTGTTCACTACTAATTTGTTGAAAATATACTAAGCTCTACATGTATTCTTGCAGAAAAAAGTCAACTGTTGTGAACATTTGGCATTTCATGTCAGATGCTCTAAAAACATATACTTATTCAAATACGTCTGAGAAACTATATTTGTTCATTGCCAGTAAATGATTTTGTGCTGCTAGTATACTATTGTAAAACTAAAAATGTTTCTTTCAAGGTGGCCAGAAAACTATTTTGACCAATAAATTGAAAACTAAAATAAATATAGTAGAATGAAGCAATGATATATTTGGTCATTTTTGTTATCACTGAATTAACATTGGCGTGGGTCCTTTATTTTTTGTATACCTAGCCCCCTGTTGTCATATCACAAGTAGATTGATATATAATTCTTCAAAAATAGGTCAGTATCTTTAAAAAAAGTAACTAAACTTCTTATTAAATTTCTTGAAATGGTTTTAAAACATATTTCACATCAATCAGATTAGCAATCCTCTTTATTTATTTTTTATAAAACAGCAAAAACAATTTTTACATACGGTTGGTAATATAAGTTAATATTTAATAAATCATGCGAAGATTATAAATTTTTTAAAAACACTCGAGAAAATTGTTTTAGTGTTTTGCGCTTTGTCTGCATTGACTAAATAATATGGTGACTTTAAAATAACCATGTCACGAAGTCGTATAAAAGCAATCTACTTTTTCAAAATTACTTTCCATGGCAGATTCACTCCATTTGTTTTATATAATTATGTAGTTGGTTTAAATAATTTAATTAATTGATTCTATTTTTAAAAGAATGACACCTTTAAGATGATCCTTAAAATGCAGTAATATGTGAATTAATTGATCGTGGTTGAATTTCGTAATGTCTTTTCCAAATTGATATTATAGCTATTAGAAACACAAATAAGAGACAAGGGGGTTTGTAAGTAGTTGACAAATCTAGAAGAAAAATAAAAGTACTAGCAATCCTGAATTACATAATACTATAGAAAAGTTTGGAAAAGTTGGTACAAAATTTAAGGAGGTGAAAGTAGAGGCAAAAATAGTAAAAAAAAGTTCCTATAAACATTGGTTCTCTGGAGCACCGTTACTGCAATATGGACCTCCAAAGGAGTCTTATCCTTTGAATACTTTTTAAAATAACTTTTCTTTCTGATTAAGATAATAGAATGAAAATTGTAGGTAATAATTATACCATAAGGATAGTTTTACTCTGACTAAACTACGCAGAATTCTTCAAAAAAGTTTAATTCTTTAAAAAATAATATTATTTGCTTGATAATTCAAAGGAATAGAAAAAATTAAAAAAATTTCGGTTTAGGTTAGTTAGAAAACTATCCTTATTTATAACCGATTTTGATGAAACTTATAATAGTTAAAGACCCTTATGGTATGATTATTACCTACAATTTTCATTCCCTTATCTTAGTCAGAAAGAAAGTTATTTTAATCAATATCCAAAGGATAAGACCTTTTTAGAGGGCCAAACCACAGTAACGGTGCTTCGGATGGCCAATGTTTATAGGAACTTTTTTACTATTTTTGGCTATACTTTCATCTCCTTAAATTTTGTACAAACTTTTCCAAACATCCTGCATATTTTACTGATCCAAAAGAAGAGAAAAAATTATATTAATAGCATTTTAACTGTTTAGAAAACAATAGCAAATTTACATTCGTAAAATTGTCAGCGGACATTTTGAACTTATTTAACACATATTTTCTTCTGCATAGTCAATGTCACCCATGGAGCGTCTGGCAAGGAGAAGTGAAAGTAGTGTGAGTATAAAAAACATTTCCTGAAAGTAGTTAATTATTGTAATGATCTTAATATTCATATTTTGAGGTAATACACTGCATTTTTGCCAGCAATTTTGCAAGTGGTATTAACCGTTAAAACGATTTCTGATATAAACTTATTTCCAGTTCAAAGATATTCCCAAATTGGGAGGCGTGGACTCGTCGTTCTACAGGCAAAACATGGGTCTCCCCCCTAGTTATACAGGTTACACGCCAGGATTGATGCACCCAGGCTTGACGAGTGGACCGACGCCATTCGTGCCACCCAACCATCTACCAACGTTCCAACCGAAGGTAATTTCTTATATATTCTAAATATTCCGCGTTTCACCTCATGGTTTCCCACGACGCAGGTTATTCGCTGTTACAGATATTCATGTGTTCGTGTACATAGTTCTGAACTTTGCTTACGTAATCGGCAACGATTTTAGCAAAACGTGTCTTGCTTGTTCATAGTGTGCATGCGGCATGCCATTTAAATGTGTGCTGTAACGGCTATAACTTTTAGCATGTGCTCTGCCACCCCCCCTAACGCTTTTCTTTGTCCACAGTCGGTGACAGCCCACGACCCAACCAAGCCTAAAATTGTGGTACGTAACAGATATACTTCCTCCATACCCTTTCGGCCCCCACTGGCTGCTTACTTAATGATCGCTTTGTCTTTACTTACCTCATCAATCGTTTCACTTAGGGTAGTTTACTTTATCCAGCATCGGTCGTTTCGTTTCCATTTACACTATTACATTCAGAAATTGAATTAGAAAAAAGGGACTGGTAATTTCTCTGCATCGTTTTGACTTCAGCTCTTATAAATATTAAAATTGTGATGTCACTGAGGGAAAATTTCAAATATAGTGTAGAACATTGGAATGTTTAGGGTATTTTAGCCTATCTAAAAATACTTGAGAGTTGAACGACCTTTGATTGTGATGGATTCATCCTTAGACAAAATTTTGCAGTTCTTATTTTGAAAAATATAGATGGATGGGTATTTTTGTTTTAATGTATACCATTAGCACTAATTTACGTTTAACAATAACAAAAACAATATCAACAGCTATGTATTCATTATAGGGTAACCCAAAAAAAAAAATTTTTTTTCGTGTTGTGAAAATATGTTAGTTTATGTTTTAAGAGCCCCCTCAAAAAATCAGCTCAAAAAAAATTTTTTTAGAGGTCGCTCAAGATTTTTAAAAATTTCCAAAATCGTCAAAAATTTAATTTTTTTAAATTTTTTTTTTCTCGTTATATCATTTTCTAGGTTGAAAAAATCTTGATTCTGAAAATTTCAAATTGATATTTTAATTTCTAAAGGTCACTCATAATTATTTTAACTTTCAAAGTAGTGTACCTAAAATGTTTTCGAGCGACCTCTAAAAATAAATATCAACGAATTAATAATTTTTTTTTATTGAATTTGGTGAACAAAAGAATAGAAATAAATCACGAGATACTTAAAAAATTTCTTGAGGCAAAATTTACTGCTGCACTTGCGAGTATCAAATATTTATAATTTTTTAATTGTTTTAAATTTAAGTGTCTCGTGATTTATTTCTATTCTTTTGTTCATTAAATTCATTAAAAAAAATATTAGTTCCTTGATATTTATTTTTAGAGGTTGCTCGAAAACATTTTAGGTATACATACTACCTTGAAAGTTAAAATAATGAGAAATTAAAATATCGATTTGAAATTTTCAGAATCGAGATTTTTTCAACCTAGAAAATGATAAAATAATGAGAAAAGAAAATTAAATTTTTTACATTTTTGGAAATTTTTAAAATTCTTGAGCGACCTCAAAAAAAATTTTTTTTGAGCTGATTTTTTGAGGGGCTCTTAAAATATGATAAACTAACATATTTTCACAAGAGACGAAAAAAAAAATTCGGATTTTTTTGGGCCACCCTAATACTCATATTGTCAAATAAATGTGCCCTACCTCATTAAATAGAAGAGAAATATGCTGTGCATGTGTAAGACAAATGTGTCTTCGAAATTTTATCGTTCAGAAATTTCAACAGTAAAAACGTATTGTTTCAAAATTGAAAATGAAGTAGGTATGTAAAGAAAGGACAGCCAGCAAATTTCTTTTGATCCTTTAGCAGTCGCTCTAGTAACCTTGTCCTTTCAAATCAAAGCCTTCGGACTGTTGCTAGATTTTGCCAGCTGTCACATTATTTCATTATAAGCAACATTGGCATTTTCTGTCATAGATAACTTTACAAAACTTTTTTGTGTTAGCACTATAGCAGCTAAGATAATGAAATACCATTGAAATACTGATGAGCTTCGAGTTTGTATGTACTTATTTTTTATAAAATAATTTGCACAAAGATACACATATAATTAATCAGTTATACAGATTATAATATACAGGGTGTAAGAAGTTTGACTGCCATTACTTCAGCATGAGATAGAGTAATCATAAATGAACAAAACAGTGATATATTACAGGGGCGTAAGATTATCAGTTTTCAAAATATAGCGAGTATTAATATTGAGGAGTTTCTTTACAACAGCACTTAACCTAATGCTACACAAACTGGTGCATACTATGTATCCACGCGGCAGACTTGTTCTACGGGAAAAATGTAAACAACTATTATTGTGAATCATTTAGTAAATTTCAAGACAATTGTTTTCCAGTTTTTAAATAAATAAAATAAAATGTATCGATTTTGTAGTACGAAGATAGTGTTGTGCTTAAATTTTAGCTGAAATTTTAGTAATTATGAATCTCTTATAACTGGAACTTAACTTTTAATCAAATTACGTATTTGAAAAATATGTAATTAAAGTACCCAAAGATTTACGTCATCCAAATAATCATAATTTAGGTCCCAAAAAGCAAAATTCAGTAATTTTTAAAGGCACAGGTACAAAACAAACTACAACATATACTGAAAATGTCCACCGCCATTTTCGATGCACGCACGACACCTTCAATCCAATTTTCGCGCACATGCTGGAAAACATCTCAAGGAAAGGAAATAGTGGTACGCAAAAAACGCTCAGACACGGTCCAATTCCAGATACCAACTGAATTGCGTATTGCTGAACAGCTTATAGTACCTCGTGTTATCCGCCGCGCCGTTGTCACATTGCTCGATATGGATTTTAAATTTATTACAACGCTAATTATTTTTTAGAATTAAGCATAAAGAAGTTCAAAAAAGTGATAAACATTGTATTTTATGGTATTCTATGCAGGCAGTTATATCAATATTGCTTAATTAATCGAACTTTTGTACATCAAGTTGGAGATTTTGATATTTTTTTTCTCGGAAATGGTTGAGTTTAAGACCCATGTCATAAGGTTTTTTGGTTATTTTTGATAGAATTCGTCATTATTTGTGAGTCTATTACACTTCTGTTTAGTTTATATTCTATGGTTGACCCCCAACTTAGATTTCTGTACCTACTGTTATTAAGGTTAGTTGGTCTAGGGATAGATGGCGCTGATATTAGTTTTGTAAATGATCAAGGCTGCCGGACTGTAAATAAAATAGTTGATGTAAAAATCGTTGCTAATAAATAGTACCCCAAGTAATACCCAAACCTTTAAATAAGTCTTTTATCAATTTTAATGTATTCTATCGTCTGTTAAAAATAACGCAGTCAAACTTCTAACACCCTGTATATCAAGTATCTACAAATATTGTGTCCTAACTAATCGATATAATAATTATAATCTCTTAATAACATCAACATCTGTTTTTAATTGTACTTATAATTTAATTTTAAAAAGTATAAAACCGCATATTTTAATAAAAAAAAATTCCTAAAAATTCCATTAATTGATCAATAGTAAGTCAATATGTGATATGATAAATTGTTTACGTAGACAGAAGCTCCACAACAATTTCTGATTTTGTTGTGTTGATTAAATAAAAAACTATCTAAGCACGAAACTTTTGTAAAAAACACTTCAAAGAAATGATCACAAATTAGCTTTTCTTCGGCATTGTTCAACTCTCAAACATTTTAAAATGTGTTATAGTTCTCAAAAGTCTGAAACAATTTGAAGAGTGTTCCTATTTAAAGTAAATAAAATAAAATAAATTCAGTGAATAAAAACAAATAAAAAAAAATGGAACTTAAATTTTATGCTGTTTACATACTCTAAGAATGCAAATATTTGGAAATTGCCAATACCAATCCTGCTAGGATTTTTTTTCTTGGAGATTTTTGAAAAATTGTATTAGTCTCAAGATCACTTAATTTTCATAAAAATTCATTATTGTTTACATTTGTATGAAAAAAACTAAATTAATTAATAATGTAACAGTTCCAGATATATTTTCAATGATTTTAATTGTCCAATCATTATTTTATGTTTTATTTTTATTTTTTCATAATTTATGTAAAAAAGAACGATTTACACTTCTTGTACAAATAGTATTTTTATAATTGAAAACTAAATAGCAGTAGGCCATTTCAAAGAGTGTAGTACTTAGGATTTAAAAATCTTATATTTCCAAACTTGCCTTTTTAGTGTATATTTGTAAAATAGAAATTGAGTTGCATTTGTTTTTTTCCTGAACTTGAGTTAGTCACTTGTATGCCTATAAATCAGAATATCCTGTCTATTTAATTAGCCTTTTCGCCAAATAAATTATATTAAAAAATTTGTTTCACATGTCGAATTTTGATATATGAACTGAAAAATCACCCAAGCCGAAAACAGTGCTTTCCTTCAGTCATCAAATAGAATGTGGCGCATTTAGTGCCAGAAGCAAAAATTGCTGTTGGGTATATCTTACCATCAGTTTGCTGACAGATATGTAGTAATTTTCCGTTTTTTGCCAGTGATATCAGATAAGACAAAATAAAATTTGAAATTGAAGAAAAAAATACTTATTGAATTTAAATATTTTAAGCAACACCAATATTTAAAAGATACAAATAAACTTTTCTATTTTATTTACAGTCGAAGGAAACTGCCTCAGTATCATTAATTTTGTTGAACTAGTTATCTGTCTAACTTAAACTCATCAATATTTCATAAGCAAGCTCGTTAGCAAAATGTACTGATCACAGAGCAGTGTTTTAATCGTAAATAAATCCATGCCATAAATTGACATATCCTGAAAAAGATGCATTGTAGCTTGCTTTTGAAATGATATTCGACGCAGACTTTATTACAGTGTGGCTCCTAAGTATCAGAACAGTTTTGTAACTTTTTTTGGGCAATTTTAATGTCAAAACGTGTTTCAGTATTAATTGGCCAAACATTAAATTTCAGTTTTGGGTGATTAAAAAACAAAAAAAAAGTTCTAGGAAGATGTACAGTATTGAAATTTAAAAAATAATCAGAATTTCCAAAATATCTCTAGAGATACCTACTGATGAAATTTGAGATAATGATTTGCCTAATTAAAAGTAAAAGTCTGCTGAAATTTAGAAATTTGATGGCTCTCTTGTTTTTTATTCCATTCCATTTTATTTGAATAAAGAGGCCGTTTGCGGATTATTGCTTTTCTTATCTTACATTACCTCCACCTAAGTGGTTAAGTGAACAATGCAACATTTAATAATTATCAATTGTAGAAAACTGGCAGGTGGAACGCCATGCACGTCAGAGTGGCGTGGGAAATCTACCACCACCAGCAGAAAAGCGGCGAAGCTAAAGGCAGCATAACGGCCGCGAAGCCACCCACAGATCTGTTGAGGCCGCCGACGCATCTATTTTCTCCAAGCGTACATTCTCAGAGGCCACCGCACGAATTGTCACCGTTTCCTCCAACGTTGGCCACCCATCGTCCTCCAGGCTACGATCAGCCCCACCATCCCGGTTCTCTGTTTACAACACCACCCGGTCATTTAGGTAAGTATTGTTTTTGTATGAAATCACATTTTTTTTATGCCAACAATCTCGTTCTATTAATAATATTGTGGAAAACAAGTACTCTGTGGGATATCGATATTAATCATGCCGTAGTACCTACAGATTTGTAGGTTGCTCTCTGCCAGTAGGTCCATCGTGAAGGCTAAAATTACTGTTTCAAACAAAATAATTGATCACGTAGCTTGTAATTATCTATGAAACCTCTGTATTTATGCAGGAATTGTGATACAAAACACCCTGCATAAAAATTACAAATATCATTCGTCAGGTATTCAAGTGGTTTCTGAGTTATTCAGTAAATTTTTTTTGCAGGCAAATCCCCATTTACAGGCTCTGCCATATCCCCCTTCACCCGTTACGGGGCAGGTCCCCTCGGGCCGGCCAGCACTTCTCCCTTCTCCATGTCACCCTTCGCCACTAGAGAGAGCCACCTCGGTCTAGGACCGCTCCATCACGACCCCTGGAGGTCACTACAAAGAAGTATACCCAATTTTCCACCCGCTGTAAATCCGCTACCGCCTACTTTACCTGGCCTTGCTCCACCAGGCCCGGCCCCTTGGACCATTAAGCCCGATCCAGTCCTGGAACAAAGGGAGCGCGAAGCTAGAGAAAGGGAAGAAAGGGAACGTGAGAGACTTAGAAGAGAAAGAGAGGAAAGAGAGAGGAGAGAAAGAGAAGAGAAACAGAGGAGGCTGGAGCAACAGGTTTGATTAAGTCATTGCATTTAATAATTCGTATTTTACCACGGATGTTTTTTATCAAGCAGCAGCAAGAACAGAGGGAGAGAGAAAGAAGAGAGAGAGAGAAACGCGAGATGGAGAAGAGAGAATTGGAGAGGCAGAGGGAACGTGAAAGGGAGAGACTACTGCAGGAGCAAAGACTTGCGGAGTCAGCCAAACAGCTTCAGCCATTGATGAGAGATAGGTCGCCGTTGAGAAACGGCGATATATCGGAGATAAGGGTTAAGGAAGAACCGAGAGTTAAAGAGGAAGATATGATGGCCAGAACAGATCCAAGGTAGGTGTTTTAAAAATTACAGTAAATTTAAGTGCTTTTAAATTACATTTCATGAAATTGGAAATAGTTTTTTGGATTGAATTGAACATTTTTTGTAATCATACATTTAACTTATTAGTCATACAGAGGTTTATGCCTTGATTTTATTTTAACAAATTAAAAAATAAATGTATGTTTATACAAGGTTGTTAATGTGATAAGAGTACAATAACATTATTCCAGATAGAAAAAAAGTTAAAGGGGAGTAAGATTAGTTGCAAAGAAGTGTTTTAAGGTTAAGGCACCTTCCAGCTACCGAAGCTCTTTTTTAATTATCCAATCAGGCTCTACAAGAAAAACGACTATCACGTACTTTAACCTAAACTTGGGTTAGCGTTTTGCAGAAATAATCGGGAAGGAATCATTTTTTAAAACGGGAGACAATGTGATTTAATATTTCTGAAGTTGGTATGTGTTGTGACTGACCTGTATATGGGGAGTGTCGACAAACTGCTGCGAAAGCATCGCGATTGTTTTCGTTTCGTTTTCTTGTCACCTTAGCAATAAAAAATAAAAGTATCACACCACTATTTATGATGATACCAAGTTCATCGATCCTAAAATCCATAGCAACATTTGTAGAGGTGAAGGTCAATTTTGTATAGTCGACCTTCAAATGACCTTGACAAAGTGGAGATCAAAGACGAATCGAAGGTCGTGCTTGAGTAGTACCTTGAGATGTAAATCCCATCGATTCTGCAGATCAACATCTTATTCCAAGGCTGCTTCAAGGGTGACGAATCATTTAAACCCCTTGTGACCTTGACCTTAACTTCAAGGTCAAAGTTGTGATCCCTTCCGGATGTAAGTAAAATTTTCTTTTGAGTCCATTTCCAAGGTTAAAAATAGGGAGGTCTTATTTGAATTTCAGAAGTTGACCTTTAATTAACTTTCAAGGTGAAATCAAGGTCAAATCCTACGTAAGCAACTGGTTTCTCTCAGTGAGCTGAACAACTTTTACTTTAGGACATTTTTCGACTGGTAAGACAATTATTGTACAAGGCGGCGCAAAAGTTGTCACCCGATGTTCTTTGACTGTAATTTTTTTAGTAAAAGAAAAGTCTTCAAGTGTCTGAGGCTTGTTGACATAGATTCATGACTTCAAGAAACCCCACAAAAAGAAGTCTAGAACGGTTAAATCGGGCGATCTTGCCGGCCAGTGCAAATCATCAAAACGAGAGATTAGGCGACTCGGAAATGCAGCCCTCAGAATTTCGGTTATGGGTCGTACAGTATGCGCCGTTGCTCCATCCTGTTAGAACCACATGTTCTTCAGTCCCAATTCGTCCAGTTGAGGTAGGAGAAAGTCGTTGAGCATGGCTCTGTAGCGCTCGCCGTTCACAGTAGTCGTTTGGCCCGCGGCGTTTTTGAAAAAATAAGGCCCGATGACGCCTCCCGCGTAAACACCACACCATACAGTAACTTTGAGCAGGTGTAATGACTCTTCGTGTGTTATACGCGGATTTTTGGTGCCCCAGAAGCGACAATTCTGCTTATTCATGTATCCACAGAGATGGAAATGGGCCTCGTTGCTCATGATGATTTTTGATGAAAAGTTGTCTTCCTCGTGGTCGAGGTTCAGGATGGCTTGAGCGTAGATTACACGCGCTTGGCGGTTAACGGCTAGCAGCTGATGCACTGTCTGCACTTAGTAAGGGAACATCTTCAAGTCTTTCACCAAAATTCTCTGTAAAGACCGCCGATTGATGCCCAATTGCATTGGCACGTCGTCTGATTGATACTCTGGGGTCCTCTGCGACATCTTCAGCCACAGCCGCGATATTCTCTGTAGAACGGCTGCTCTGGGGCTGCCCAGACTTGACAGCATCTCGTGTTGTCCCATACTCTTCTAGGCGAGCAGCTAAACGCCGTAGTGTTTGCCCAGTTGGTGTCCGACGACTGGGAAATCTATGTCTAAATTCACGCTGCGCCAACACCACTGACAAATTATTACGCAAAAAAATCGAAACAATTATTCCGCGTTCTTGAGGAGTATAGCAATTCATGTTTTACTGACGTGTATTTTGTATGTGTTTACATCACAAATGTCACAGCAGAACTGACATTTACCTCCATTTGCAAAAATTGTAGCATCTTCCGATAGGGTGATGACTTTTGCGCCACCTAGTAGTTCTTAGGTGATTGCAATCCACCTCTTTTTAGACGTGAAAAGTAGTGTTATCGCAATGATGAATTTCTCAACAGCTGAATAGACCATGGCTAAGGTTGCCATATTGTAATCCATAAGATTTTTACTTGTGAAGTTATTTGAGTCTAATGTAGAAATTATGCAAATAGAAAATGCCATGGAAATAATTTGAAGGAAAATCTTTCTAGCAGTATGCACTGTGTTGTGAATATGCAGAGTGATAGCTTGTGTGAATGAAAGCAGTGATGACAAGGAACTTCTTAATTGACTATATTGTGGGAAGCAACTACTCTGCGAACTAATGTTTTGACCATTATTGAATTATACCCGCAATAACTAGTAAACATTTTCTTTAGGCAGATCCAGACTTATCTAAATTAAAAATTTAGTTTTTCTTTTGTATCATGATAAAAGGGAAACTCCAAATTGACAAACACCATGTATTTGAAAATATCTTAAATCCCCTTCAACTTTAACATGAACATTTTTTTTTATATCAGAAGTTATTGTGCTTTGTCGCAGTAATGTCTCGCCTTGTATGTTCTAGTCTTACTAACCATAGAAAAATATGAAATTTTGCGTGCACTTAACATGCGAAAGTCTGCAACTGTACCAGCATATAAGAAACATTTTAAATGAATTACAGATACCGCCCGGAAGAGCAATTACTGAAGAAAAGTTTTTGTAGGTATCACAATCCGTTCTTGAGGCACCCGGGCAGCCTACCGCCCCCGCCAGGGCCGCCCACTATGCTAGACCGTACAAGGATGATGCCCCACGCCCTCCCCCCTCATCCCTACCACACGCCTACCACCCACTGGACCCCACCCACAGATCCGTTCTACCGGTACGGTTACAACCCCCTTGTCGACGCGATGAGGGTGCAGGAGGAGAGGGCGAACTTTTTCAGTGCCTACGGGGCACCGCACCACCCCAGTCAGCTGAGGCCCAAAGATCCGGCACTGATGCACCTCAGAACGGGGCCGGGGCCGGGCCCGCCGCCTCCCAGTCACAAAATGAGTGTTACCCCACCCACGGACTTACATAAAAAAGAGGAGCCACGATAGCACAAGCACACCACCGATGTGGACTTCAAGGATTTGTAGTGTAGAAGTTGTCCTGCGACAGGTGATGAGTAAACGCAATGGTTTCATAAATTTAAGGGGGTGCTGAGGGATTATTGTCCTTAATTTCATAAGGAAAGTTTTTTAAATATTCCTTAACAAAACACGGCAAATAAAATCATTCGTTTTTAGCAACAACATAATTTTTATGTTTTTTTGCCAATAATTATTGCCAAACAGTAACGTTTTCAATATTATAATAAAATTAGCAAACAAATTTTAAACTAATTTTGAGTTTTCTATTTGCAATAACATAATTTTTATGTTTTCTCAATATTGCAATAAAATGGGTACATATATTAAAAATTTCTAAAATCATGACAAAATGTGACAAAGTCGCAAACATTAATTTCGGTAAAATTACCTTATTAACTTGCTATAAACAGTATTAGAAAAGTTAATTTTTATAGAATTTGGAAGTAAGTAGTGGCAACTTATGTATCAAGGTCAAAAAGTTACATTATTATGGATATCTGCTTTGTTTGGCATGACGAGGCCACGAAAGTGTAAATTTTAATTTTGACCGAGGTGCATATTCAGTTCTTCTATGTGTAATAATTTGAGTTTGCTTCTTTTGATTCAGTGTCAACATTATTTTTCACATTAACTTTTACTTCACAACCATTGTGAATGTGAAGTGAATTGTTGAAGAATTTGCGAACATGAAATAATATATCTAGACAGCTTTGGCTCGAAAATGATTTTGTAAAACTGTATATTAGGCAAGACCAATGGAAAATTTTTTATAACAGTTCTTTCACATTCACTATTTACACTTTAAACAGTACCTCATTTCCAAGTGTAAACGGTGTATTTTGGAGTTATTATTGGTGTAAAAATACCTAAAATAAACTAATTTATTAACTTGCATTGTGCAAGCACTTATTTTATAGCATTAATAACAAATTCTTGTGTTTACCGTTCAATGTGTTATTTCAAACTTTTAATAAGTAACTGAAATTAATATACAAAATTAAAAAAATAACATTTCGATATTTTTGAGGAACCCCCATACTTAAAAAAATTTTGAACACATTTTTTGCTGATTATATAATATATTTATAAATACTACGATTAACAAAATAAATATTCCGCTATAGTAGGACCATTTTTGATGCAAAGTAGAGCAAAAAATTATTGGTCTTTTATCTAAGGAAAATCGTGTCATCATTTTTAGAAAGCGTAAGATTAACCATTTCAAAATTAAAATGAAATTGAATGTAAAATCTGAAATACCGCTTCATATGCACTATGTACTGGTAGTAACTGTAATTGCCCAGGTGCATCGAGTGTACGAAGTGGTCGGTTATACGTCAAATACTAACCTGGCGAGCCTCCAAAAAAAAACAAGTAAACAACAGTGGCACATATAGAGTTGAAATGTACTACATAATATGTGGAATTTAAAAAACAAATTGAATTTAAAATAAATAGTTTGAGAGTAAGGGGATTTTTTTTTTCAATTTCTAAACCCCTTAAAACCGTACTGCACTGAATCCCTTGACAGGTAATGATTTACATTTGCATCGAATATGATCCTACTATAAGTAAAAATTAAACTCGTACCTACTTTAAAGTTTAAAGTAAATATTTCTTGGATAATTAAAAAAAGGAGAGTAAATATAATCAGTGACTTGGATGTGCTTGAATATTTTTACATAATATATTGAAATCAGGTGCTATTGTTGTAAG